GCACAGTACCAAAGAAATGAAAATTCTCCAAACAGCCAGAAATGGAGCGACAAAAAATGCCAGCAAAAGAACAAAAATGCCAGCAAAAGAGCAAAATACTGAAATTGGCGTGGCATGGCTCCTAGCCAGCTCCCACCAAGCCATCTGTTCCCTCCACACCCCTGGTGGCACCAAAGCACCCCCTGCAAATGCGATGCCAACCGAGGAAGAGGTAGTGGAGCACAGCCAGCCCCCGCACCAGTCTGCAGTGAGTGGGATGCAGGCCACGGACCAGCAGGAAATCTCCTGCGGACAGGTGCCAGTCCGTGGACTAGAGGCTGAGAACCACTGATCTAGGTGATACTTTCTGATGCATTGCTTGACGTTGTAGTCTTTATTAGCAATAATTTCCAATAAATAATGAACATTTTTGCCATTTGAAGAGTATAGGCTGGGATTTACATATTTCTTTTACTGTATGGTTGCTAAATACAAAGGTAATGCCTGTATGTACTTTTACAAGGTACTCATTGTTGATATTGTGTAAACCAAGTATACAGATGCAAGATTGTTTATTGTGGTAATCCTGCCGAGAGTGATGGCAGCTCTTGTCTTTGTCTAATGCTGTTCCTGAGCTGGCCAGATGCAGTGAAGAGCAGGGCTGCTATACCTTTAATACTTGCATAGGAAATGGAAGTTTTGGAAAGCATAGCTTGGCAGGTATGGGTGAGAAAAGTAGCAACTGCGATACTATATGTATACAGGTGTGGCTTTTCTCACCCCTGCCTGCCAAATTATGTGTGCCAAAAATCCCATCTCCTATGCAGCTGTTAAAGGAATAGTAACCCTGCTCCTCCTTTGTATCCATAGCCATTTCCCTAGGAAGGAAAATAGATGAATGTGTGCTTGGATATTTCACTAAGACAAAAATATTTGTGCTATAACACTGAGCGTGAAAGACAGATTCAATTAATGTAGCCTTACCACTTAATCTGTATGTTCAAACAGATGAATGACTGCTATCCTAAACATCTTGTATCCTAACACTTGTCCCACTTAGCTTTAGGATTGAGGCTGCAATCCTAGGTATGTTTCACTTGCTAGGGAGCAAGTCTACCACTGGGCCTTACTTTTGATTAAATATGCCTGAAGTTGCTTTTTTAGCCAACTCTAATCCTAGCTCTTCGTTGAATGTTATGTTTTAATAATGAAGTAGAATTAGATTTGGCTATTATAATTGTTTTGACATATTGTTTTAACATTATTATCCTTTAAACCTGAACATATGCAATTTTCTCATGTCTGATGTTTAAGCTATCTATTCTGTTACTGTTTAATTTGGCTGGCAGCCCTGATACTCCTTAACTGGAGATGCCTGTAGCTGATCAATCAGACCTTCCTATAGTCATGTGAGTGGGCTGTCCCAGAGCTTACCAAACTGGTTTGTACAGTCTTCTCCCAGGACCCAAAGAATGGATGATGGTACATAACTGCTGGAAATATGGAGACAAGTTATCTTTGTCCCATAAAGCTGTGCAGGGAGTTCTTGGTTTATTAGTATTTCCAGAATAACTGAGAAGCTGTGTGGAATCCTGACATCTTGCAGGGTATTAGAAATGCTTCTGGATCATGGTTAATATTTCTTAAGTTGAAAGGGGGAACATTTAAAAGGTACATTTTCTTCTTTTGTTTGCTACCGTCACAGAATCTTGCATCATCTGGACTCACTAGTCTCATTATGAATTGCACATTTGTACTGTTACTCACATTCATTCATGTCTGAGTTCAAAGTCTGATTCATTTCCTAGCTCTTGAGCATGACATGCTGGCACATACATTGCTTGGGCAGACAACCTTTGTATCTAGTGATATGTTCACCAGGCTATTTTAGGTTGTCATTACAGAAAGTGGATCCCTAATAATTTGTGTTGTTCACCTTACTTCTAGAAGTTTGCTTATAAAATCTTGATCACTACAAAGATCACAGCTGCAGACCCAACTGTGTATTCATTACTGAGCATATCTATTTTTACAGACTGGATTAGCCCTTTGATACAGTGAAGGCCTCAAGCAGTGCTACTCAGCTGTGCGAATGGGATACATCATGCTGCCCTTGGAGTGGAGCCATGGCCACTGCCATCTCCAGGCATGGCCTCTGCCATGGTGCATCCATATCGCTCCTGATGGAGGAATCTGCCCACTCCTTTCCGCTGGGGGGATGCCCCACAGCACGGGGGAGGTGGCAGTCCTATAATTCTGTTCTTTGGATTACTTCTTCATATCTTCAGTTTGTATCAACTATGTGTTCATTAGAGAAGTCTGCCACCTAGTAATTGAAGATGATATACAGGTTTCGAACATACAGATACATTTAAATTAATTTTTTAAAATGTGCTTTAAAAAACCAAACAACCCTGAAGTGCACACCCTTATCGTCCCCTTAATATGCATGGCAAGTTTCAAGTGTCTAGGTTTTATAGTCTTGGCACTGTAACGTTGACAGACACACATACTCCTTTATTATTATAGATTATATATATATTATAGATATAACAGTTATTATAGATATAGGTTGAACACCATCAATTACTAACAATTTGCAGTGGTTTGCCCTTAGTAGCCAAACTGGAATGTGTTTAAGCTGGATTATGCTTCCTGGTCATTTGTATCTTTGTTTATTCCTAATATCTGAAACAAACTGCAGGTTTGTATTTGGTTCAGGTGAGAGTGAAGAAGATGAAGTTATGATGCAGACTGGAGTGCTTTCAGCATGATTGTCTTGCTGAAAGGTGCTGCTTAATCCATAGATGAAAAAAATTATGAACTACTAGTAATTCTTTGCTTGCTACAATGGGTGTTAATTTGAATTTAGAAAGTTTTATTTTGCTTTTAGAAAAACAATTCCCTTTAAAGTTCATAATATGATCAGAGTGGAACTTAATGTACATTAATGGATGAAATGGCTATGCTCAAGTTCTAAGATGCAAAGAGATAGGGCTCCTGTACATGATTTTGCTGACAAAGGCTTTTCAGGAGGAACAGCTTTTCTTAACCCTGCATGACAAACTCTGCATATCAAAACCCACTTGTCTGCATAGTTTTTAAAGGCATCGGAGATATTTGCATCTAATTATGCCAGGTAACATGAATTCTACTTTTGCTAAATCATGCATGGATCATTGAGATCTGTACCAAACTATTTCCTGGGGTTGTGGCTGAGAGGCATTTTTCTGACCCGAATCTGAGCCTGCTGTCCCATAATATTGGCCTAGTTTTCTGATCTTAAGGTTGCTGAGCACTGCCAAAAATAACCCATGCAGCAATCTTAGTAGCAGAAGGGAGCAGGAATGGTGACAGAAGAAGGAGGGAGGTATAATACAGCAGAGTACTTCGTGATCTGCTTGATAGCATCAAGCTTCATTAGACTCCTATCTGAATTCCTGTAGAACTGAATATTTTATTATTATTGAATTATATTTATATTCTGCTTTTTTCTTGTGAGGAACCAAAGTGGCTTACATAGTCAAGCTTAACCACACAACCCTGTGAGACAGGTTAGGCTGACAGTGAGTACCTGGACCGAAGTGACCCAGTGAGCTTCTTGGCTGAGAGAGGACTAGAATGTGGATCTTCTGGCCAGACCAGCGCTTTAACCACCACGCCACTCTGGCTCATCTGAGTGCCAGTCAACCCTCATTTGTCATGCAGAGTATAGAAATGACACAGCAACTAACCAGTACAGTAGGAATTCAATTGGTTACTCTTCCATATAAATATAAGATTGGAATGATTAACTCACAGGCTAAATGCACACCCCATAAGTAAGAATAATTATGTAATTTAATATGCATGTCTCCCAGGGCATGAGATTTAAGGCCTGGTCTTCAGGACTTACTTGATTGCTTAATCCGTAACAATAAGTTCTTACTTAATAAGTAAGAGACTTAATAAGTCTCGTTTTCCATCAGTAGAGAGTGATCTCAATGCAGAAACTTAATTTCAGGGCTAGTTATCTTGTTACCACTGAGCCAAAGGCTAGAGAATGAGCTGCCCAACTTCAGCATTGGTCTACCCATGTTGCGTAGTGCTGAAGCTCAGGGAAAACGGGTTTTGATCCAGGGGCAGGCCATGGGCAGAGTAGGGCTGGAGGTCTGGCTCTGGAAAAGGTAATTCAGGTGCCAGAGTCAGGGGTATTGGCAGGGCAAGACACCAGAAAGCTTTTCTGGATGGGTTGTTCTGACTGAGGAGCTGGTTGGAGGCAATGACTTTACAGAGCTGTGTGGATCCCAAACACCCAGTGGAGTTATCTGAGAATATTCAGGCTGGCTGATATTGCATCCTAATACCATCCGATTCCCATATGCTGTAGATGCTATAGAGCTTTGTCTGTTGGACTTGCTGAAGAATTTGTGTAGGAAGTAACATGCTACTATGGGTGCGAAAGATGCAGGACTCCAAGAAGAGTCCAGTTCAGCCGAAAAAGGCAGAAAGACGATCTAACCATGAAGGAGGTGATCTACTGGTATATTGCCAGGATGAGCTATTGTGTCATGCAAACCTGCTGTTGTCTTCAGCAGCAGTTCCCCATTTTTTTAAAAAGGGAACAGAGAATAAGGGTTAGGGAAGGACTGTCCTGCTAAAGTGCTATGAAAGTAATTGCTTATTATTATGATGGATCGCATAACCAAACATATGGCTTCATGTGTTCACACCTTTAAGCATGAACAGAGATGTAAACTTTTGGACAAGTTTAGCACTAGGCTTAAGCTGTGCTTATACTACTCAGTTAAGCCAATTTCTCAGTTTTGGCCTACTTCAGATGTTGTAATTTTAATTTATGGGAGTGTGACAGTAAGTCCTGTCATGTCAGAAGTGCTTCTAAAGTTGAGCTAGGCACACTCCTGGAATTTCCCCATCCTTCTTACTCTATTATTTTTGTCATGGGAACAACCTGTGGATACTGTGGGTGAAAAGTGTGATGCTGGAAAAGCACTTAGAGGAAATATTTTGCTTTATTTCAGATAAGAAGGAAAACTATTTTATTACAACGGTGTGTTTTGCTGCTGGCTTATCTTGTAATTACACTGGAAGCAGTGCCTATAGACATAGACAAGACAAAAGTACAAGAGAAGGAGCATGTAGAGAGTGAAAAAGTAGATAATCCGGTAAGTCATTTAATTAAATATCATTTTTGTACAGCACAATCAGTTGCACTCGAGGATTACAGACATCCGATGGAGGGTGAGAGGAGCATGGACAGGGTGGTTGCCTCTGCACTGCTCCCACCCCGCAAAACGCTTAGATGAGTAATATCACCAAGTGGGGGAGGGGTGGGCAGTGAGGTACCATCAGGATATTTTCTTTAGTGGTGGTGCCTCCCCCTCCCCCCCTCCCCGCCCACAAAAGCTCATCTCTGATGGCTTGTGACCCCAGAACTGCAGCTGGTGTGGTTCCTTCTGTGCGAGCTGCAAGTGTGGAGAGAGGATATTCTGATTTTGGAGTTCCAGCCATGACCTCAGAGCAAATTTCCAAGGTCAGAGATGAGGCTTCCAATTATGCTATGGCTATATGGACTCTGTGTAGCAGACATAGAATTGCACCTTAGTCATTTTTCATTAATATCATTATCCTTAGCTTTAATCTAATGAGATCAGAAGACATAATAGTAATAGAAATGATGATGATAATGTTCAGTGTCATCAGTAGCATTTGGCATCTGTATTCAGGTCCTTTTATGGACAAACATTAGATCAAGAAAATGATGAGAGATTATTTAAAACTTTTTCCTGGATGATTACCAGAAATAGAAGCAGTATTTAATTTAGAGAAAAGACACATTTCCACATGTTGAATACAATACGAAAATGAGGAAGAAAGTTACCCCCTTATCCATGGGACAGAAAGTACTATAGTAACTGGTTGGTTGAAGGTACTTAAAGACAAGTGCTTAGTTTGTTGTGGTAGCTGGGCAGACTGAGCTCTCTTCCTGCTCCTAAGCAACTTGAGCTCTTCTTCAATTATTGCTTTTAGTGGGATGAAGGCTAGTTGATCACTCAAGGGTGACTTCTGCTCATGAACTTATCATAGTGGAATTTTCTTTGTCTTAGGAAAAGTGTATGGCTTGGTGCATGTTCTCTGAGAGTTTAAGCCAGTCTTCCTGATCATATTCCAGCTAATGGGGAGTTTAACTTGATAACTTGATTCCCTCAAACTATTTTTCTTAACTGAAATTGCCCCCTTCAGAATGGCTATTTTCTCATGAAGGAAAACATACATGTATGATGCAAGGGAAAAGGGTTAATACTCTTCATCAACCCCAGACCTCCAGTTCTGTTTGAGGCCAGCATAATTAAGGTGGGGGGGGGGGACCATGGGAAATCTAGTCTTAGCATCTCCTTTAGTTTGGCCCCTGAAATTAGCCAATTTCTCAAATCGAGTGGAAAAACAGAGGAAGGGAAACTATAGAGAAAGCACCGCTTATGCCTTATTGCCTGATAACCTCTATTGTATTTCTCTTCTGTGCTGCAGAGTCTTCTCTTTAGAAGTGGCTTCTCAGAAGAGGCCTGTTAAATTTTAAAAAGCTGTTTAAAAAGAAGTGGGGACCCTACATGATGCATTTATGGATGATTCTTCCAATGTAAAAATGTTTGATCTTTTTATCTTGTATTCAAGCGTTTGACTAAAAAAGTTACAGAAACTAATGGGTAAGGCCTAGAATCTCAGCCATGTTAAGACTCTCAACCATACACATACATCTGTATGGAAAAAAGAAACACCTCTCTTCCCAACTCCTTGACTGAAATTATGTTTATTTTTCTGAAGGATACTGGGCTCTATTATGATGCTTACCTCAGGCAAGTGATAGATGTTCTGGAGACAGACAAGCATTTCAGAGAGAAGCTGCAGACAGCAGACATAGAGGAAATAAAGGTATGTACAGTGATTAGCAGACAGATGTTAATGAAAAAGCTAGATGAAAAGCTGAGGATACCAAAATCTTGATTCACAAGATGCGGGAGAGCTAAGTACTTGCTTAAATCTATCATACTGAAACCAAGAGTATTTTAACTGCTTAAGCATGCAACTTATTTTGGAAAAAAAAAAGAGGCGGCAGCAGAGGCTCATACAGAAACAGAATCATTACAAAAGATAGAAAATTATTCTGGTTCATGGGTTAAGCCTTTTTAGAATTTTTTCATGGTATTCTTACCCTGAAATTTGTTTTCTGAAATTCAAACATTGTCTAAATTGCTCAGTATCCACTGAGATAGAGAGTAAATGGCAATTCTCTTGCTGTGGAAGTGGGTAACTTTCCCCATCCTCTATGTAGGAGTGGTCCAAACTAGGTTATGTGTCTATTTATTACATTTCTAGACTGTCAAAGTTTTCTGACTGACTCATCCCAATTGAAATGTCACCCATTCTTCTTAATCGAGGGCTGATTGCCCTTGCTCATTCCCCATCTTACTAAGCTATGATGTCATTATGTTAAGAGGAAAATGATGAGGGAAGAGCCTGAAGCTTAATACTAAATAAGAGCTTTGTAGATCTGCATGTCCTAGTGTGTGCCCTAATGCAGTTAGGTTATGTTATAACTTCTTGATGGAGATGCTGCCAAGAGTCCCAGTTCAATAGGGATATGGAACAATGGGATGGAAGTTGCCATTTCTTGCATATTCTAGCCTTCCTTGGGACTAGTATGATTGTTTAGAGAGGCAGAGTTCTTGCAAAACAGCAAAAGGAGCCATTGATGATGAAAGTTCTCCACTCCATTCCTGGCCCTGTCCTTGGATATCTTTCTGGTAGCTCAAACAGCTTCTGTTGCATAATTGTATATGATGCTGTTGAGATACCTCCCTTGGGCTTTTATTGGCCATTTCACCTTCTGATTTTAGTGTGGATACGCCTCCAGCAGCTAACTCAGTTTTACATCTCTCTTGAACATTGCAGAACTACCTGTGACCAAGCTATTCTTGAAATATGTAGGAATTCCAGGGTGCAGAGTTCGCTGATCAAAACATCCTCATTCACTTTAAGCAGGGAAAGGAACTGTTTGTGTATTTTCACTTGTGCTTGTGTATTTTCTGCTGCATATATTGCATTTCCTTGATCCTTAACTGAAAAAAGAAGCCATTACAGGCATAAGAACTCTATGTCAGTGACACTGTGCTTTCAGAGTTTGGGACTGGAAGGTGTCCTGTACCAGTTTGCTGTTTATATCTGGAACATGAGAATGTTGTATTTTACATTCATTCTGAGGATTTTGGACTGTGGATTCTAATTCTATGTTAAAAGTGGGTGATATTCCCTTCCAGTAGGAACATGTCAGTTGTAAAATTGAAGAATGCTTCACTATTTGCACTGATACAGCACTGATGTAGTTATCATGTCAAAAAGTAACTGTGACTATCTGTACAGATAATTTCTTTCTTTTTGTTGACAGAATGGAAAGTTGAGCAAAGAGCTAGACTTAGTTAGTCATCATGTGAGAACAAGGCTGGATGAATTGAAAAGACAAGAGGTTGCAAGATTAAGGATGTTGATTAAAGCCAAGATCGATTCATTTCAAGGTAAGAACGCAAAGGAAAAATTGGCCCAGATGACAGATACCCAGCTGATGCACACAATAATGTTTCAGTTGTCTCTCTTGTTTGTATCAACAGCAATGAGATGTAACAACGTTTTTCTGTTTTCCTTGACCTTATTATACATTCCTGTCCCTACACATTCCTGTCCTGTTTGAAAATGAAGGAGAACAAGACAGACTGGCTCTGTGGAAATAGCATACACAGAATAAGTTCTGTGAAATTGTGCTAGGTTAAAAAAGAGAAAAGCCAGTTAAGATGTCCATTTTGACTTTTTGTGGCTTTTTTTTCTTTGAACCTAGCAAATTCCATTTCCCACATTGAGGACCAGTGTCTTACCTAGTTGAAATACAAATGCTAAATTATGGACTAAGTATAATTGAATCTTTTCAGGTTTTTAAGACCTGGACAGTATTTAAATAAAACATAAAGCTCAACAGTTCCCATTTATGAGAATATAAGGTGAAATAAAATGCAATGATAATACTATTTTTGAAATATTAGTGAATATTTCCACAAGACTTTAAAAAAATCATGTAGTAACTGCTTTTTCCTAAAAAGTGCATAGAAGTTAAACTCCTAACATTTTTCAAAATCTTTAGAACACAGATGAACTCTGTTTAAATATAGGTTCTGTTTCCATTGAAACAATGTTAACTAAAATATATGCTATTAAACATGTCTTGCCATGTAACAACAATAATAAAACTATGAAACATATTTTAAGCAGAAAGCTTAATTTTGTCTTATGGTATATTTTGCTTAATTTGTTCAAAGTAGTATAGGCATCTGCTATGCTACTGCAGTGCTGATATGACAGTAACAATAAAAAAAAATTGTTTCAGAAATGGTTTTCTGTTGCAGAAGGGGGTAGCACATAAAGGATAATATCGAAGCATGCCAGAGGGACCCTTCACTAGCACACTGGGAATGAGCATTTCTAAAGACAACCTAAAACAAGTGGGAATGCTCATTTTTTTGAATGAGGCCTATCAGTGAATTTACTGAAGGAAGCTCCTCTGACCTGTCCCAATCTACAAACAGGTATTGGGGGGGTGGGATGTAATGCAACAGTGAAAAGGAAGAAATGGGGAGCATAACACAAATTTGCAGGGCATACAATGTTAGGACGCGGGGGCATGTGAGTTTTATTTATTTATTTATTTATTTATTAAAACTTTTTTGCCTCAGGCAGCAGGAGTTCAGGCAGTTCAGGCAGTTCTCTTGCTTCAGGCAGCAGGAGAGTCTGCATCAGTGCTGAACACATTTACACACGGCTCTGCATATTGATGCTTGCATTCTTTCCAGGGCAAGGAGAAGACGTAATACAATACAATACAATACAATACAATACAATACACAGCAGCCTTCCCCAGCCTAGTGCCTTCTCTCAGGTGCCAGGCTGTGAAATGATAATCTGTGAATAAATTACTCTTCTCTACTCCTGTGTAGCATTTGTAATGCTTACTGTACAACAATACATTATGCTCCAGGGGAATGGAGAGATTTTTGGAAATGGTTTACTTTGTCTATGGGACTGTTTTTTCCCATCCCTTACGTAAGTTCAGTTTCACTTTCCCCCCTCTTGTTTGAGTCACATGATAATCTGAATAATTCCACATCAGAGGAAAAAAAATCACAATTCTGTAAACCACAGCTCAGCCAATATTAAAAACATTTGAGGTGGGTTGTAGGAAGAAAAAAAAAACACTTTGCCTTGTACACACAACTGATGTTGACTTGCTAGAGCTTGTTTAATGAAATAAAGGTATTGCTTAAGAATCTATTTTATTCTCCTTCTAAACAGACTTGCAAGTGTTCAGATTGCTTGGATAACAGAAGGATTATGCACTCTTGCAAGGCTAGTGCCCTCTTGAAAGGCTGCAATTAGAAATCTTTAGAATTGTCCTTTCCTACAGGTAGTTCAGTGTAGGAATCAGCATGCTGTTAAGAAGTGCGCAGCTCTGTTGCATGCAATTTGCTGCCTGAGACAAGAGAGTCCACATGCTACTTCGTCCTAACATCACAACCCCCACAATTTCATGTTAGGCCCCACATTTCTTCTTTCCCGCTGCTACAGTCACCCCTCACCATTTCCCTTTACTACATCATAATACAGTTGATCTCCTGGGACACCCCTCTCACAATTCCTGCTTGGAGGCAGGCATTTCAGCATGGTAGGATCTTTGAAGAGCCAAGATGGCTGCTCTCTTGACCTACCAAGCTCTCCAGAGGGCAGCTGCTCCTGAAAGCCCCACTGGCTTCTTTTTTGTTCCAGCAAATGCCATGATGGGAGAGAAGATGACAGGGCTCTCTGGAGCACCTGCTGGAGGTGGCGGTAGGCCTTCCTGGGGAGGGGGGGTCATGCGATGTGCTTCTTTCCCCACTTTGTCATGTGGTGTGGGATCTTTACCCAGCTTCATGGGAGGGTAGCCCTGGATGTGTATACACCAGATCTGCAAACAGCAAAATATACCTGTGCTGATCAATAGGAAAACTGTATGCTTCACTTAAGTTTTTCCTTGATGAGAATTGCATCATATTTCAGAAGGCCATGGGGTGTTTTCTATATCATTGTACACACAGTCTGCCATTAAAAGCTGCCAATTTCTGATGGCTTCCAAACCTAAATTGATTTACAATCTAAAGCATTCAAGGTTGGTGCAGGTGTAACCTTGGTACAGTTTTAGCCACTTAACCATAGTTAAAGGATAGGGAGCAAGCAAGCACCTTCCTTTCTGGTGTGAATTCCCAAGCTCCTTCCTTATCCTTGACAGATAAAAAAGGGGTCTCCACTTTATCATTGATGATGTTTTAATACTATCCAGTCTTACTTGCAGTTACGGGAGACGGGGGTAATTTATACTTGAGAGTCAGGGTTGGGGAAGGAAGTACAATACTCTCAGTCTGCTCCTGGATTCTTAACAGAGTTTAAGGAAATGATGAATATTACATCTATGCTATTTCACAGTTGCATGTCCCTGGTTTTTGTCCATCTTCTCTTGGTGAAGTCCACTCGTGATTAAAAGTCTAGGTGTTCAGTCACATGTACGAGTGAGTTTCAGACAGCTGGCTTGATAGAATAAGGGAATATGAAAGAGGGGATCACAAGGATGTGTGGGCTAGCTCAGGACTAAGCCAAGCCCCAGCATCCAAGTTTTTAACCCAGTGAAGGGGCTATACCATAGGGGAAATCCTGGCCCAATCTGGATTCCCTTCTTGTGTGAAGGAGCTGTGTATGTGTACTCAGGCTTTCACTTCACGCTCCTTCATAAGCCAGTTGGATAGACGAGGGTGTGGCTTCTGCCAGTGTTGGAGGGCATGGCTCTTGAAGCATAGGCTCAGCTATACCTCTTTTAAATAAGTCCATTTTGCTTGCTTGGCCATACATCATAATGCAACTAAAATATTAATCCAAAATAAAATCCAAGAACCGCACTTACAGAATTAAAGGTCATTACAGGAAGCATAAGTAGCCAAGGACATCATTCATACGAACCAAAAATAAGAGGATACAAGAGGGCCCAACAAGATGTTGCAATGTTTCCTTACTCCTTAACATGCAGTGGCATTGAAGGAAAGTTTCAAGGGTCACTGCGGCCAGCTTTTCTCCATGGAATAAGGAATGGGGATGGCCTTTTGCCCCAGACAACAGAACATCTTGGGTCAATTTTGTCCTTAAACACAATAATCTTGTGTCCTTTTCCACTTCAGTATCCTTCTCCTTTCATATGAAACCCACCCTGAGGGCTGTAGGTTATAAATGTGCCTGTTCTTTAAATGCATTGTGTTTTAAAAATACACTTTGACTTCCATACAGTGTTTGATATTTTGTATATATTATTAAATAAGTTTAGTTACAACGGTACTGATTTTGTGTGGGTTGTTTTTAGATTCTGGCATAGACCATCAAGCACTTCTCAAACAGTTTGAGCATCTGAACCACCACAACCCTCACACTTTTGAAGCTAAAGATTTAGACATGCTCATCAGAGCTGTAAGTGTTGAGCAAATATTTTCCCAGATGCTTGCTTGCTCTTTTTGCTGTATTTTTCTATAGTGGAACCCACGTTTTCTGTTTCTTCTGCCTCCATTTTGAATAACTTTCATAGTTACTTCAGGAGTCATAGTCTGAGAATCCCAGTTAGTGCTGTAAAATAATATTCTGCCACAGAAGATATTCATGTTTGTTTAAAAACAGTCTGTTCGTTTTTCTCATAGCACATCACATGATTTATATTCTCATGCCAATATAAACTGACATACATTCTTAGAGAGTCTTTAAATGCAACAGTCTTTTGTTCAGTGCCATTTTTTCATCTCATTTCTTTAACTTTTATTCATGTATCTGCATATATAAAATATGTCAGCCAAGTAAAGCCTCTTATTTAATTATTTATCTCTTTTAAATAGTTAATTGATTAATGTTCTAGCTGTGTATTATCAGAAAGTCACGATAGGTTTTGCAATATTAAAGTGGACAAGTCTATGCATGTTTACACAGAAAAATGTCTGAAAAGTTCCAGCATCCTGGGAGACCTGACTGGGGCATGCTGGGACTATAGGACATTTTTGCCTGTCAGGGCACACTCATTTACATGTGAAAGACAGGGAAAAAGAACTGCACCTTGATCTTAGGAGGAAAAGCTATTTTAAACACATTTTTCTTATTAGCTCAGAAACAAAATAGTTTCTAAGTGCATAAATAGGTGTGTTCCTTAATAAGTTTGGTCCTGCAAATCAGTCAGGTAAAGCATGAATTAATTAAGTTGCCAATAAAAACTTACTGCTATTTTTTTTTTTGTTTAGTTTTTTGATCTAGGGCAGGCAACAGTGCTGTATACAAGAAAGTCTCCAAATTGGTCTTGGAGCAATTCTAAACTATTGGGGAAGTCATCTGAAAGAAGAAAAGCATAAAGATAATACTTATCAGTGTCATAGTACTTTATAGCATGGTAAAGAAACTATCTCAGTAATTGTTGCAACACCCTTTTAAGATAAACAGAAATTATTCTTTCCCTACTACAGATGGAAGTCTATAGCTTAAGAAAGAATGAGGTCTGAGCTCCCCCTAGTGATTTCATAGCTGAGTGACATTTCCACAGCAGGCTTTGTGGTCTAGTCCAAGGCTGCATGCTTTCCTTAATAAAGGAAGTGGACAGTTGAGGAAACGGTGCTGCGTTTTCTCTTGAGGAGGAATTGATAGTAGTGGGGACCAGTACTGAGATTCAGACAGAGGCAAGATTAGAGCAACAGTAATGGAAGATGGAGATTTAAGAAACCATTAAGAGGTATGAGGAGTGTAAAGAAGAGTACAATAGCAGATGTTAAAGTCCAGGGCTGAGGCACTCTTTTAAAAAATTGGAAGCATTTCAGCACGTATCTGATGTGAGATCCAGAGGTAAATGCAAAGATCTGGTGAGAGAGAGGCTGCAGGGGGTTAACAGCAACATAGCACAAGAAAAAGCTGTAGAACCAATGCCAGTATATAGGGGTGCATGCTCTTAATGCAACTGGAGCACTGCCTAATAACTCCTGACTCGTTCCTCCAGACTACCTGCAGGCAGTGAATTATAGAATGCAGTCCTGCAATGGATGTTCCTGGAAATTTAAATATGTGGGAGGCCATCTGGTGATCTCTAGATGTTTTGGACCACCAGTCCCATGATCCTGGACCATTGACCATACTGGCTGAGACTATTTGAGTTGCAGTCCGAAACACAGGAAGGGTACCAGGTTGTCTGTCCTTGGATTATAGTAATTCACCCATCCTTGCTTTTGTAATTGTACTTACACTTTATCTGATACTTATTATGCTTTATCTGCCTCTGGGTGTAAGAATTACTGGGGAACGTGGGCAGGGGGTGTGCTGTTCTACATGTGCCCTATTTGTAGGTTTCCCATGAGCATCTGATTGGCCACTGGGTGAACAGAAAGCTGGAATAGGTGGATTGGTGATTTGATGCAGCACGGCCCTTATGTTCCTATGATAGCTGATCGCTGGGTTTGGAATAAAATGTGGCACACAGTCTTCCTAGGTGTGCCTCTTCCTATCCATGGAAAGCTAGCCTTGAAGGAAAAAGAAGTATAATCCTGATTGTGTGCAGTAAGGTTTTAGAGAGAGAAGGAAGGGAGTATTCAGACTTGTGCTTTCTGAAGTTGTACAGTCCCTGGAGGGCCAGTATCAGCTATCTTTTCTGAATATGTAGTTCTGCTCATAATTCTGCACCATATAATTAGGAGCAAGTATTCTGCAGAATGCAGTGGAAGCATTAGATTGCAACCCATGGAGTTGCATGTACTGAGTACTTAGCGGTACATTTGTATTCAGTTAACACAGTTCACAATTCCTGTGCAGTTTGAGAGAGCATATTGCTTTTTCAGCAATGCAAAAATTCACTGCAAAGAAAAGTTTTAATTTCCAGCACACAATAGTATCCACATGAGAGCAAAATCTCCTTGTCTAATAATAGGGGACTAGACAGCTGCTGAGGATTCCCAAGATTGTGGAAGCACACTCAAGCGTCAACAGAGAAATCAAAGAGGATTGCATGCTTGTAGGCACAACTATATCAATTACTTTAAAAAAGATAATGCTGGCAGTCTAGCTCAGGAGATAAAGGCAGTGCTTGATCAACAGCAGGGGTGATAATAGTAGGGAAGGAAGGGAAAGGGCAGAGGTTGGGTGAACTGGGTTAACTTTGGAAATATGTTTATATTTAGATAGAGTTGACTGTTGTGCCAGAGGCTCACAAAATCCCAGTATCAGCCCTGAAAAGCTGACTTTTAACATTTGTACAAAAGCTATTTTGTACATTAAATGATGTATATTCTATATTGATGAACACCTTCCCAGCCAGACTACTTTTTAGTGATGCCTTGTCTATAACAGACTGTAACCTTTCTAAATTACTTCATTCCTGCTTCATTCCTCTTACGGACTGCATTAACTTTTCAGTACAGCCCTACCCAGGTTTTCTAAAATGGAATCTAGTAACATGCCTAGTAATTTACCCTTGCATGAGGAAGGCAGGCATATCAGCCTGTCCCCTCAGTCTCCAGTTCTCTCACCCTGTTTAAGTAGAGGAGAACTCTTCTGTTTGTGGAGACTCACCACATGATTTGGAACCCACTTCAGCAAGTCAGCCACCGTATGTAGAGGGCAACAGAGGTGGATGGTGCAGGACTTGGGCATCCTGCCCTTGTGTGTTTACTATGCCCCTGATAAGGGCTTACATCTTAGGACACTTCCTGGAGAAAATTGTGGCAGATGCACATGGAGATGATTCTTGGCTGACAGGATTTATTTATTACTAAACTTACATTCCCCATTATAAGATCAAGGATTCTCTAAACAGATTACAGTAGAATAAAAATACAAGATAACAATTTTGGAAAAAAAACAAAGCACACAACAATATCCAAAAAACAGTATGCAGCTGAGGAATGATAATTTAAAAGTATAGATTTAAACAGTTAAAACATATAAATAACCACCGCCAAAATTGTCCAAAATAATGTGTTTTATGTGTGTTTCATAGTGCATGAAGCACTATGAAAGTGCTGTGAAAGCACTTCGTTGCAGAAAGCACCACATCCTTATTTTGGTTTTTTTTTTAATTTCTAGGCCACAAGTGATTTAGAAAACTATGACAAGACCCGTCACGAGGAGTTTAAGAAATATGAGATGTTGAAGGAACACGAAAGGAGAGAATATTTAAAAACACTGGATGAAGAAAAGAGACGTCAAGAGGAAGCAAAGTATGAGGAAATGAAGAAAAAGCATGGTGATCACCCCAAAGTTAACCATCCTGTAAGGATACAGTTTGTACTGGTATCATATAGTGACCGTGTATTTGCTTAAGGGTTAAATGGTGAATAAATTATAACATGGAGATTTTAAAATTGGTTTAGTTTTTGAACTCAGTGGTAGATTTCATTGTTCTTGACTGCACCAAGACTAGTTAGAATTAAACTGATTTTCACCAGCCTTTTCTTGCCTAATAAAGACATTTTCAAGATGGAGCCAGGATTCTGGATTTCTGTCAAAAATGGATTTATATGTTTGGTCTGCAATCTTCAGAATAATTTTTTCCTGTAGATACTGGGGGCTGCCCTGAATTCTCTCCATCCTCTGAACATAATTGTTTCATTTTTTAATATCATTACTGACAATGTAGGAGTTTATACTGAACATGCTGACAGTAGTGGATGTCACACAAGCTTTCACTTTAATGGGTCTGCATTATAATTACATGGGCTACATCCTTTTGTTGCCCTTGCACAAAAGGAAGGGCTGTCTGTTTTCAGAAGGCTGCAACTGGAGAAGAAGGTTGACTTCTGCCAATTATTCCTCCCCTTGTGCTGTCTTCCGCACTGTTCCAAAGGATTCCAGCCCTCTGGAACAGACTTTTGGAAAGTTGAAGGGACTTCAGCAGAAAGGAGAGCTTTGGTGAAAACCAGTTTCCCTCTTTTCCAACCAAAATATGGGAGCCTGGTTGGTCTCCAGGGCATTACACAGAGCCCATTTACCACCAATATTAAAGTCTTTCCACTGGCTGCCAATAGCTTTCTGGATGCAATACAAGGTATAGGTGATTATCTTTAAAGTCCTTCATATCTTAGAACCAAAATAGCTTCAGGTGCACTTTTGCCCATATATTCTACCCTGCCCACTAAGGTCCTCTGGGCACAATCTTCTGAATCTTTGCTTCTGCAAGATCAATGTCAGCTACCCAGAGGACTTTCTCAGTGCTTGCCTCAAGCTATGGAACAGCTTGCTGAGAGAGATGTGTCAGATATCCCACCTTTAAAAGGGAGTTAAACACAGGGCCTCCCCAGATTAGTTTGTTTTTTGTTTAAATTTGAACTGATGTTCCTCCCATGCTATATAACCTCTAGATCCAGTCCTGTGTGTTACTATATGAAACACAATTAAGTTTTTGAAGCTCATCTTAGACTGGCAATATGGCTTTAGCAGAATGAAATTGCAAGAAATACCTGTATAACCATTTGCTCTTCATGATTAAATTGCAGGGAAGTAAAGACCAACTAAAAGAAGTATGGGAAGAAGCAGATGGGCTGGACCCTAATGAATTTGACCCAAAGACCTTTTTCAAGTTGCATGGTAAGGCACATAAGCATATACAATAAAAAAGAACAAGCTTGAGTGGTACTCTTTCATTGCCTTTTGCTGAGAAATACTCTCATGTGACACTAAAGAGTACTGTAGAACTTTAAAAACTTAACACAGTGGTTAGGGAGTATGGTTTTGTGGGCTAGAATCTACTTAATTGCATGAATGGCATATTGCCTTTAGTTGGCAAGTATTTGTATTTTGTTTAAAATAACTTCAGGCTGTCTTTTAGGCTGCACAGGGGAGAGCCCTATATGTTGTATGCAAAAGGTTCCAGGTTTGATACCTGTCATCTCCCTGTAGGGCTAGGAAGGAAGTCTGTATGAACTCATAGAGAGCTGCTGCCAGCCAGAGTCAATAAGGCAGGGCTAGATGGAGCAATGGCCAGGCTCAGTATAAGGCAGCTTCTTAAGTTCAAGGTAAAAACAGGATACCAAGAAAGGTCAGAATTAACAAAAGCCAGAGACAATGATAGAATGAACATTCCATCCCCAAATACAAAAATATGTACCAGTACAGATAGGTATAAAGAAAGAGTTATGTTAAATGTATTCAGAATGGGCAGTGGCCATTTCTTGCTGAAGACACCCAATTTATTTCTCTGTACCAGCAGCTGCTGCTGCTTCTAAAGATAGCATCTCTCCCTTGAATGATTGCCTGAGGCTTGTAATGGGCTGAATACAGAAAGCAAATTGAAGTTGAATCCAGACATAAAGAGGTGATTGCTGTTAAGGGTTTGAATCCAGGGTTAGAGATGTGCCATCCAGTTCTAGATGGGATCACACTCCCCCTGTAAAGCTTTGCATGCAGTTTCAGGGTGCAACTTGATTGGATCCTCCAGATGTCAGCACAGATAAGACACCATGGTAAAGAATCCTGGTTATCAGCTTTAGCTGATTAGTCAACTGTGTCCCTTCCTGGAGGAGAATGACCTGATAACAGTAGTACATGTGTGCTAACATCTAGGCTCAGTTTCTGCACCCTGCTCTGCACAGGGCTACCCTTGTGCCTGTTCCAGAAAATACAGCTAGTACGGAATATGACAGCCAGGATGGTCTCTGGGACATCATGAAGAATCCACATATTACTGATATTAAAATCTCCCCACTTGCTGTCAATAGCTTTCTGGACACAGTACAAGGCGTAGGTAATTACATTTAAAGTCTTCCATCTCTTAGGTCCAAAATATCTTCATGTGCACTTTTGCCCATATATTCTGCCCTGACCACCAAGGTCCTCTGGGGATAATCTGAATTTTGCTTCTGCAAGATCAATATCAACTGCCCAGAGGACTGTTTTCAGTGGTTTCCCCTAAACTAAACTGTGGATCAGCTTGCTGACAGACGTATCAGATATCCCAGACTGTCATCTTTCAAAGGGAGTTAAAGACAGGCCTTCCCAGATTAGTTTTATTTAATGTATTTGTTTTCTGTTTAAATTTGAATTGATATTGGTTTTAAATTCTTGTAACCACCCCAAACCAAGGGGAATAGGGTGGTGTATAAAAATATAAAGACAGACAGACAGACAGACATAATCACATACTTCTAGTTTTCCTTCACTTTGATAATGAAGAATGGTAGCAACTGAGTGCAATGCACAATGTATATGTCTGGTTGAGATCCAGCCAGAAACCAACTGCATTGTGCACAGGAAGAGGTTGTTATACTTTATTTTTCAGTTTCCATGTGGGCAACTGAGTGCTGGGGTTTGTCAGAGCTTGCCTTAGAATAACTTATAAAAGGGTATATCCTATATTTAGTCTACCTAACTTGATTGCTTGCAGTACTGCAGCCTAGACGTAGTGGATAACACAGATGTATGTGGTATGGAAAACTGTCCATGGAAAAATATAGTATTGGAAATGTTCCTAGATAATTTTACACAGCACATCACTGCATTTTTCTAACTGGAAATTAGAAACAAAAAAGCAGAGATGGTCAGATGAACAGTCTGGCCAGTTGTTAAACAGAAAAATCTCAGTATCATGCAGTGCCCAGTATTATATTAGATAAAGATGCTTAATCAAGTTAGGCTTGTATGTGGGTTAAACCTATCGTGTGTGAATATAATATTTTTTCTTCAGTTTGAGTTTACATGGATTATTCTGTTTTTAATAGATGTCAACAGTGATGGTTTTCTGGACGAACAGGAATTAGAAGCGTTGTTTACTAAAGAGGTAAATATGTGTAAATGGAGTATTTCAGAACCATTATAGTCCCTGTAAACACACCACATTAGCAGGTCTAGGTATGTGTAGCTGGGATGGAACTGTGATATACAAAGCCTGTTTGATAAGTATATACATTGTAGTGAAACTGTCCCTTAAGGTTCTGACCCTATGCATAAAAATTGCCAAAATAGTGTTATTTCTCTAGCCTGTCAAAGAGGCTCTCCAAGCTAATATATGAAAGACAATATACTTTACTTAAGGAGAAAACAATAGACTTCGGAGGAAGGAAGTAGCTCAGCAGCGCAGAAAGAGAATTAGAGACAGTGTACAATATCTTATGGTAAGTGGCAGAAAACTGTTAAGCATCACTGGTAATTTTTTTACCAAGTTTCTACTGTTTACAATCACTTTAGTCAATGAATAGCTCATGAATTCTTTTCTTCAAGAATGAATATGTGCACTACTAAACAGTCTTTATAGGTGAGATATCCCAAGTTTTCAGGAACAAAGTTACAAAGCACAGCACCAAGAACTGATAACATGTTTTGCATTGATTTCTCAGCTAGTCTGAAATTAACTATGTAAAATATTACATATCCTGGGCCTAGGCAAATGAATTCAAGGAATTTTACATAGCACAGACAGAAATCAATGCCTAGATTTCTTGGCAATTTCAGAATTTAAAGGTTGATCTACTAGCCCCATCTGAAGAGAGTTCCCCAGAATTAAACCGTTTAATACACTGGTGAGAGAATCACAGACTGTTGTCTATAGATATAACAAATTTATTTGCATAGGAAGGTGAATTCTTTTGTTCCCAAACATAAAAATAAAAGCCAAATCATAAGCAAAATAATGTTACAGCTTTAATAATAATAGGTATACATGATCTATTTTAAATAAACTCCTTAATTTTTCTTTACTGACTCTGATACTGTTTTAGCTAGAAAAAGTCTATGATCCCAAAAATGAAGAGGATGACATGGTAGAAATGGAAGAAGAGAGGCTACGAATGAGGGAGCATGTCATGAATGAGGTGAGGTATAAACACACTGTTTTTACAAAATAATTGTTGGCAAAATTATGCAGTTACTACCAGTTGTCCAAAGAACATGTAGCAAATTCACATAATGTTGGGGGTGTTTTTTGTACTGACAGGTAATACCAACTATCATCAGGTATGCAGACAAATATAACAAGTTAACAAGGTAGTCTTAGATATGGCTGACTGCAACATAATATTGTGATTATGGGAGTTGTTGATAATTTCCATGATCAGTGATTCTCACATTTTTATCCATGCAAACTACGCACTAAGAGGGCAGTCAGGATTCCTTACATGGGAGTAATGCCTAGGTATAATCCTTTCCCATTTGAGGGTATCCTCACAGGCTGGGACAGAATCCTGTTTGTTCTACTTTCTTGGTGCCTAATAGACCATTGTAAAGAAAAAGGCATTTGCTTCTCTAT